ATCCCAGGACCCTGGGATCGAGCCCCACATCGGGCTCTCTGCTCAGCAGGGAGCCTGCTTCCTCCTCTCTCTCTGCCTGCCTCTCTGCCTACTTGTGATCTCTGTCTGTCAAATAAATAAATAAATAATCTTAAAAAAAAAACCGATCACGTTGCAGAAATGTCTTTTTGTTCTTAGGCTGCTAAGAGGTTTTAAGTTTTGTTCTTTAATTAAATGATTGTGTACCTACTGGTTTCTTTGTAAGATTATATGTTCCACAAGGGCAGGGAGCGTGTATTTTATTCATTACCACATCATGACTGTCTGGCATAGCAGATGTTCAAAAAGAAGTTATTGAACAAATGACAAATCCACTGATAACACTTTCATATTTCAACTGACCCTTTCAGCTGCTCTCCCAATGACAGTTCCCCATCAGAATCATCCAGAGAAACTTATTAAAATAAACCACACACGGTTGGGTCTCACTCCAGACCTAGGCAGTCAGTAAGTGAGGGGTGATGCCAAGAATCTACATCAACAAGCGTTGCAACATAGATTCAAGGTCAAAATCACAGGCCTACAGTCAAAACTTCTTGATGCGGGCATTCATGTCCTTGCCTTTCCCTTTCCCTTTCACGCTCCACACTTTTCCCACTCAGGGTCTGTCTCAAGTGCTTCTCCACTCCATCTCCGCCTATTCAAATACTGACTCATTCCCCCGGGGCCCAGACTAAATGATGTGTCCTCCACAAAAACCTTCCTGGATAACAGAGTGTCTCACTGGAGTTTCCTAAGCCACTTTGGGAACAGGGCTCAGTGCACATCAGGTGAACGAATGAATGAAGAAGGGAGAATGAAGGAAAATTTTGCCTGTTAAGTAAGGGGTCTGTAACTGGGTGCTTGCTCTACTCTGGGGTTCCTATTCTCATACAGATTCCTGTGATACTTGGGGGTGGCATGCTTTGAGAAGGATCCTCCAGGAAGGGTGACTGCCCACGCCTGCTGCTCTTCCAAAGGAAAATTATTCCAGAGCCTCACACCCCAGACTCTCCAGGGTTAGGGCCCAAGAACCCGCTTTTTCCTTAAACCCACAAAAATCCAGACGACTGTGATTTTGATGCAACCCCACCCCCAACAAGCCCCCTAGGAATCTCCTCAGTTCCTAAAAGCAGCTTCCCTTCCTTCCCTCTGTAGACCGCTCTTTCTGTCTCAGACTCTGGGCTGCAGGCTGAGGACACGGACACACAAGCAGCCAGACAACAAAACAACGTGGTGAGAAAATAAGACGGCCCCGAGGGAAGCTTTTGAGCTGAGCCTTCAGAGATGGCGATGATATTCAGGCAATGCTTACTGGCTGTGGCCTGGGACCCCTCAGCAGCGCTGCAGGTGTGCCCTCCCACACGAGGAGAACCTACTGGTACAAACACAGTGCAGCTCCAATTTTTGGTGGCATCTCCTCCTACCCTCCAAAGGCAGAAGAGAGGCCCATGTACCTGTCAATGAGGGAGTCCCGCATGCTGGTAGCGATGGTGCTCGGCTGGGCTTCGTTCAGCTTGAAGACGCTCTCCACCACGGACAGCTCTGTGCTGGTTGTGTCCAGGCCACAGAAGGCACACCAGTCGTTCACCACCATCCCAGCGGCAATCACCTCACTGCCTCGGTTCACAGTGCCCGCCTGCCAAGGGATGGCTCAGTGTGTCTCGTGCCCCCAAAAGCCCAAGTCTTGCCACTCCCCGCTGAGGTCGTTCCCCAAACCCCGCTCCCCACCCTGCAAACCCAACTGCCAACTGGGACAGGTAGTAACTCCGATCCTTTACACTGGGCAACGGAGCTGCCTCAGCGGGAGACAGAGGTCAGAGAAAGGAACGCTTACCACAAGGGGGACCTGAAGAAGAGAGGACAGCTCATCCTGGTCTTCAATTGAAGTCTTGGGATGTACCAGGCCTCCCTGATTGCTGAAGACAGAGTAGCTTCCTACGAGCACCTGGTCAGCCACTGTCTGTCTGAAGACTTCCACCTTGAGCACATCAGCCAGGATTTCTTCTGTTTCCTGTTAGCCAAAGGCATGGTACTCAGCCCAGAACCTGCAGGTCAAGGAAACCCAGGGCCCTCCATGCCCAGAACCACCCCAGGCTGGGCTCCCTAAGCCCCTCATTCCTCTGCTATGTAGTTGCATATGGAAGCTTCACACTGAGAAAGGAGGGCATATGGCTTGGAGTAGAGTCAAGGCCCGCTCTGGAGCCCCTAGTATGTGTGAATCACCCTGAGTAGACAGGCTGATCTCCAAATCACTGTCTCTCTTCTAACCCACACTCAAAAGTTCAACTGTCAATCATCCCTCCTGGTATTGGCTACGGGACGGGATGTGACCATCTCCCTGATTCTGAAGGATTAATTCCCTCTTCAGCTTCTTTCTGGCACTGACCACACCACGGAAGGCCCCATTGGTGCCTAGCATGTCAGGCACCAATGAGTGCCTGACATGCTAGAGCCCAAGTATAAAAAAACCCACAAGGGCGGCTGGGTGGCTCAGTGGGTTAAGCCTCTGCCTTCGGCTCAGGTCATGATCTCAAGGTACTGGGATCGAGCCCCGCATTGGGCTCTCTGCTCAGCAGGGAGCCTGCCTCCCCACTTCTCTCTCCGCCTGCCTCTCTGCCTCCTTGTGATCTCTGTCTGTCGAATAAATAAATAAAATCTTTAAAAAAAAAAAAAAAAAAAACCCACAAAAGACACCCCTAAGTCCTGGCAAGACCAGTGACTAACCACTGACTAGGCTGGTCCTGTGACTCCCGGGCCAAATCAGGGTACCTTACCCTGTCCAGGTCTGGGTGAACCAAGGCCACGTAGTCGTTGCAAGTGGTGACATTGCCCAGGGCTGAAAGCCGCTCCTCTACCCTCCGGATCTGCACCGAGTCTGGGAGGCAGTTGCGAATGTGCTGCAGTTCCTGGTCGGTGGTATTGTTGGGCACCAGGAGACCGTGTCTGTTCCCTAGAGAGACCCAAATTAAGAGGTGGGGCAAGAATGGACCACAAATCCACAGGATGCCTGCTATGCTCTGGGGGCTGAAGACATAATCCAGTCCAGTTAGCTTCCCCAGGAAGCTTTAGGTCCAGCCCCCAGCCCACCAACCTATTGATCCATACAACACCCAGGGGGGACCAGGAGTCCCACTGGACAGGCCAGAGATAGCCCAGGAATCTGTCCCAACACACCCCATCCACTTTGCCATCATCAACCAGGGGAGACCAGGACTAGAAAGAGGGAACTATTGGTGTTGTGTATTTTGCTACTTAAAAACTGAGGTAACACTACACACTTACCAGAAGGCTAAAATTTTAAGAAGAATGTCAACACCACAGGTTGGCAAAGATATATGGAACAACCAATAGGAGTGTAAATTGCTCGACCACTTCAGATAATTATCTGGCATCACCTGGGTACATATATTCACATACCCTGTGACCCAAGCATTCCTCTCCTAGGTATTATATATCCAACAGAAACATGTCCATGTGTTCAGTGAAAGCCAGAGCAACACTATTCATAATAAAACTAACCAGAAACTACCCAAATGCCTACTGTAAACACAATGGTTTAATATATTGTGTTATATACCTACACAAAATGCAGTAAGAATGAACTACAATTATATTGTAACAACCATAACTAAACCTCCACCTACTACAGCTAGAACACAACTCTGAACTTCTGAACTCTGAGTTACCACACATTATTAAAAAAAACACCAAGCATCAAGTCCAAAGATCCTGACTAGGGATGAGAGTGTTTGGCCTGAATAAGAAAATACTCAGAGGCCAGGATCACCAGGCTTATGATAAAAAAATAAAAGAACAAATTCCTATATGCCTCCAGTGAAAAGAACTAGCAAGAAGGGGTGATGGTAAAGAAATAAGGGGCCACAGTGAGACAGATCCAGCTCAAAGAAATGGCCAATGTCCAGACTCAACAGTGATGGGAAGTAGGGGAGTAGGATGGGGATGCCACTCAGAGACATGGTAAAGAGGATTTACCATTTAAATGGGTAACTGAACAGGATGACCCAGAATTTTAGCTTGTAATTTTATAGTGGTAGAACTGGATCCTCATAAAGAGGAAGCAACATGCCCAGAGTCAGTGGCAAGGGAGAGATGACATTTCAATTTCTCTCACACTAGGTATGGAACCTGGTGAATCACTGGGATTCTTGGGATCTTAGCTTCATCATTAATCCGATTAGGCAATAATGCCTACCTGCCAGGGTCTTGGTGAAGGAGGAAAGAAATCAAGTGTAATAGTGAAAGCACTTCGTGTTATTTGCGACCCTATGATCCTGAAGCCTTCTCCAGTGTCAGATCTGCTGACACTTTAACTGGGTCCGGCCCAAGCCTGAGAGATTCTCTAGTCTCTGAAGAAAATGGATGAAAGCCTGGAAAATCCAAGGGTCACTTGGGTTTCCCTCCAAGGCTACAATTAAAGCCTCTGGTCGGCTCCACTCCCTCGCTCCGCGTCTTCCACCAGGCTTACCCACACACATGCGGCCGATGATGCGGCAGCCGGCGATGGACGCGTGCACCACGGGGATGGTATCGGCGAGCTCACCTTCGAACACACTGTAGGAACATGGACTCGGTGGTTACGGGGCTCAGGGGCGTGAGCCCTCACTCTGCCAGAGCCCCCGACTCCCAGAACCCTCCCCGCCATGCAGCCACCCCACTGCCCGCGGATCCGGGGCTCCTGCCGCACCTGTAGAAGTTCTCGGACCCTCCAATGGCCACTAGGCAGTAGGTGTTGGTGAGTTTGGCAAAGCAGCCGATCTCACAGTTGTTCTCGAAAGACGCTCGGACCGCCATGAGGCCTAAGGGCTGCGGGAGCGGGAGTTCAGGGCCCGCAGATCCTCTCCCGGCCCCTGGGTCCCCGTTCGCCGGCCTCGGCCCCTCAAGCCCCGCTGCGACCACGCCCCTCTCGGCCCCTCAAACCTTGGGTCCCGCCCACTGGGCCCCTGTAGACTCTCTAGCCTCGAATCCTCCGGCTCCTACCACTAACGATGCCGGGATCCCGGATCTGTCCCTTCCGGTGGCCCTCCGCACGGGCTCACCAATCCACCACTACCTCCGCACGCGGCAAAGGAGTCTACTCGGCCTTAAGTAGCTTTCCGTTTCCGCCTCCGCCCAGGGAGACTTCCGGGAGCGCTCGGCGCACCCAGCCACGCAGGCGGCCACCGTAGCTCCACCCCGTGGGAGGACTCCAGGGTTGCGATTGGTCCGGTCCGTACCCCCCACCTGGCCCCGCCCCAAGCGTGCTCTCATTCATCTATCCATCCATCCATCCATCCATCCATCCATTCATCCATCCAACCATTCATTCATTCATTCATTCATTCAGGAGTTTTTTAGGAGATGCAATTGATCGAGACCTGTGGCTGCTTGGATGCGAGCCATAAGAGAGGAGGAGCCAGGGATGTCTCCCAGAGACACAGTGAACTGATGATGGAGGTATTTACTGAAGTAAAGCCTAAGGAGGAAGAGCAGGTGTGAGGAAGGTGACAGTCCGAGAGTGAGGTGCGAGACAGATGTCCAGGCCAGATCTGGAGCCCAGGGGAGAGTGAGGGACTGAGATTTGGGGCTGAAGTCTCCGGCAGATGAGGTCACCCATGGAGGCTTCCAGTGGGGAGAAATTAGACCAGGACAAAGGCTGGAGAAGGAGGCGTGGCCAGAGAAGTAGAAGAAACCAGGCTGAAGAAGATATTGGAGAGAGGGAAGGGTGAATGAAACCGTGTCTTAGGGAGGGTCCAGGTGGGCAACGGTGTGGGTCCTAACTGGCTGCCACTGTGTGCCCCTTGCATGTGCTTGATCAGTCAGCAGCCACTTTCTGACCCCGAGATAGAGGGTGGCAGTCAAGGTGGCTCTCATGGATGAGAGGAATTTGATCTACATTTTGTAGAATCCACAAAGCCCCAGGGCCTCTCAGAATGTCACAATGAGGGGCGCCTGGGTGGCTCAGTGGGTTAAGGCCTCTGCCTTCGGCTCAGGTCATGATCCCAGGGTTCTGGGATCGAGGCCCACATCAGTCTCTCTGCTCAGCAGGGAGCCTGCTTCCCTATCTCTCTCTATCTGCCTGCCTCTCTGCCTACTTGTGATCTCTGTCTGTCAAATAAATAAATAAAATATTAAAAAAAAAAAAAAGAATGTCACAATGAAGGTAGAGGGGGCCTGGAGCCCCTGTCCTCCCCCCCCCCCCCCCCCCCCGGCCTTCTGCAGCCATCCACTCTCTCTCAGGGACCCCTCCATAACTGGACTGAACGGTGCCCTTTCCCAGCCCTCAACATGCAGTTCCATAACTCCACCTTTCTCAGAATACACCAGGCTGCTGCTGGGTCATAGCATGTCTGCCTTTATTGATTTGTATCATGTAAACTGTCCCAGACAGGTGGTGAACTCAGGAAAAGGACATACAACCTGTCAGAACCTGCGCTTCTAGGGACACTCAGCAAAATGTTGTGTGCCTGTGTGTGTGCATGTGTGTGTGTGTGTCGGGAGTCTGAGTATCCATGCCCTCTACATTCTCCCCAGCTCATCTCAGACCCACTCCTCCAGTCCTCTCCCTGGCTTCTCTTCAACCGCTTCCTTCTACCAGGAATTCCTCTTCTTCGCCATCTGTCCAATCCTCCCCATCCTTCAAGGCCTGGCTCAAAGTCTGCCTCCTTTGAAACTGCTCACCACTCCACCATCACCACCACTCTCTGCCCTTCCTTCTCCACCATCCCTTCACTGATTAGCCTTTAGTTAGTTAGACATATCTTTGTCTATATGTTTAGTTAGACATATCTTTGTCTTGCCTGCCACCGGCATTTATGCATTTAATCCTTGTCTCCCAGGGACTGAGTCTGATTTACTTGTCAGCCCCATGGTATGCCAGTCCAGGGCCAGGTACACAGCTTAGGTCAAAGAAGATACTGGTTGGTGTGTGCAAGCCTGTGTGTGTGTGTGTGTGTGTGTGTGTGTGTGTGTGTGTGGTTATGTGCACATGTATCATCTGTGGTTCCCGAGAGATCTACAGGTGAACTGAATGTATATATTTTGTGTAGCCATTCATTTAGCCATATAACATTTATTGAATACCTATAACTAGAATTCTGGGTGTTTGGGTTTATCACATGAACCTTTGTGTACTTATTGTGTGTCAACGGGTATGCAGTTTGTGGATGTGAACCCCGTCAGTGTATTGTATGGCATTTGGGGCATCTCTGTAATGTGCATATTTTGTGTGCAGGGGACATGTGAACTGTTGATAATAGTGTGCCGTGTGCAAAAACACCATCTTAAGAGTCAGAGACATGGGGTTTGGGCCCTGGCTCTGCCATTGACTTGGATCTCATTCCAACCAAGTCATCAAAGTCTCTGGGCCTCAGCTTCCACATTTATAAGACAGGAAAGATAATATCTATGACTTTAGACATGTATACCTTCTAGAGATCTATCTTGTAGGATATTATGAGCATGAAGGATGGGAATTAACCAGTGTGAAGTCCCCAGCACAGTGGCAAAGGGCAGGTACTGTGGGTTCCATTTCTGTGTGTGTGTGTGTGTGTGTGTGTATAAACAATCCCAAGCCCAGTGAGTATTTAACCTGGGCTTCTAGACACCCTCTGCTCCCCATGCAGCCCCTGCTAAAGCACCCCGGAGTCTGGAACTTCGATAAATCTAGAGTCTAAGTAGATGGAGTAGGGACACGTCCCTGCTGGGAGCAGGACTAGGATTCAAAGCGGCTTCGAAGCAGCTTGAACTTGGACTTGTTGTACTTAGTGATGAGGTCCAGCTTGCTGTGGCCCAGGGTCAGCCGCTTCTCATCCCCAAATAGGCCATTGTTACTGCCATTGTGATGTCCACCTGTGGGGCCCCCAGGGAGGCCAGGCTCAGGTCCTTGCCTGGCACCCTGCAACTGATGATACTTGGTGATGAGGTCCAGCTTGCTGTGGCCCAGGGTCAGCCGCTTTTCATCCCCAGAGCCCACTACAGCCTTTCGAGCAGGGCTTGGTCTGGGGAGACCATTGGGCCCAGGTCCCTCGCCCCGGAATGGGCCAAACTTTGTGATGAGGTCCAGCTGGCTGTGGCCCAGTGTCCGTCGTCGCTCATCTTGACCCTGCTTGCCAGCCCTCGCTGAGGAGCTGGCTTCAGGGGGCACTCTGGAGCCCCCACCCTTGGGGTACTGTGCCAGGAGGTCCAGTTGGCTATGGCTGTGGTTCGAGGACAGCCTCTTGTCCTCCGGGATTCGGTTGCCAGGTCTAGGGGAACCTGACTCAGGGGTACCCCCAGCACCCTGGGTCTGGGGCAGGAGATCCAGCTGGTTGTATCTCTGGTTTGAGGACAACTTCCTGTCCTCTGGGGCCTGGTCTCCAGGCCAGGGGGAGCTTGAGTTGGGGTTAACCCCAGAATCAGGGCCTCCAGCTTCTCTGGCTCTGGGGAAGGGGACAAGGAGATCCAACTGGCTATGGCTCTGACTCAGAGACACCTTCTTCTCCTCCACTGTCTCCAGGGCTGTACCAGGTACCCAGCGACCTCGTTGGGGGCTACACTCCTGGCTTCCCAGAAGCCTATTCTCTGGGAGCCGGGACAGGGCTACAGCCCCCTGGGGGAAGGGGAGGAGGGGGCGTTGGCGAGCAAGCAGAGGTGACCCCACTCCTAGGGTCAAGGGACTAGCACCATTGTGGTTGAGGGCAGGAGAGGACTGGGACCATGGGGACGACCCCAGCTTGCCTAGATTGGACCTGTAGAGCCCTAGCAGGGAGCCGTGGTTTGAGTCTGACAGCTGGCGTTGCAGAGAGGGCTGGCCACTGGCCTCGCGGCGGGCAGGGCCCAGGGATGAGGACACCACACCCATGTCACTGCAGCCAGCACCTCCCGGTGGAGCGAGGTAAGAGGAGTGGCCCATCAGAGGTGAGCGTTTGATGCTGCTGAGGCTGGTGCTGGAGGGTGAGGAGGAAGTGGGGCTTGGCACGGCAGGCCCGAAGCCCAGAGCCACTGGGGGAGGACACAGTGCCCTAGGAGACACGGGATCCTCGCCACCACAGAAGCCCTCCACAGGCCGAGACTCGGCATACAGACAGCGGAACTCTCGGTCAAAGTCTTCCACGATGCGGCCTCTCAGCTGTAGCACCATGCTAGTGTGGGCCTGGCTGCAAAGCCAGGTGAAGCTGGGGGCAGAGGGTCAGGGTCAGAAGGCCAAGTGCAGGACCCTGGGGTTAGGCAGGGGTCACAACCAGGGGAGGACATCAACACACCTCTACCACCTTGAGGACCCAGTTGACGCAGAGCTCTGACTTCAGAGCTGAGCTTAGAGGACTTGGGCCCACGGTTCCCCATCTCAGGGCCTCAACTTGCCCATCTGTAAAATAGACTAGGGGCGAGATTCCCTGAAGTCTCCAGTTCTGAGGTGCCATAGCCATTTTCTCTGCCAAAGGCACTAAAGCAATCCTTCCACAGGATGACCTCCTCCGGGGCCCAGCCTGGGGCTGTCTTGCTTCCCACACTATCTCCTGCGCCCGGTACAATGCCTAGCAGGGGGCAGCTGCTCAGTGCACACTGGAAGGGATGGATGAGGGGAGGCCCATTCAAGCTGCCAGACCCCAGGCACCCTCACTAGCCAGTGGCACAGCCCCCGGCCCCTTTCTGCCCGTCCCACGTGCTCACCTGTAGCTGCCCGCCACCACCTGCTCACAGTCGATGACGACGAACTTCTCCAGGGCCTGCCCCGTGAAGCGACGGCCTGCCTTGCTGCAGTAAGTATCCCCACACGTGCTGCGCACACGCATATTCTGGGCCAAGGACAGAGGGAGGTTAGTTGCTGACCTTGAGAGAACGGGGCTCAAGCCCTGTCTAAATCCCACGCAGTCTCTAACCTTAAACAGCGAAGGGAAGGCAGTTGCCCACTCCCCTCGATCCCCAATGTTTCCTGACCACCCAACTGACCCTTCTGCCCTCGCCAACTCCCCACCCCACCCCTTGGTTACTGCCCCTGTCCCTCACTGACCGGCAGGTGCCCCCCATTGAGGTCCATCTTGTAGCACATCTCCAGGAAATGCCTGACGTGCTCCTGGGCCAGAAGCAGGTAGACGGGGACACCACGCCGGCTCGAGGCCTCCATTAGGTCACACAGAAGCTCCATGTCAGTGAACACGTCCATCACCACGGCCACCACCTGGGGGATGTAGGGGAAACTCAGCCCTGCCTGGAACATTGCCCAGCACACGGCTAGGAACTGGGGTCCAGGAAAAGAGAATTGGGCTTAACATCGGGAGGCCAGAGGCTGGGAGAACATCTGGACTGGAAGGGCTTATTAGCAACAACAACTCCCCTTAACTGAGACACACGGAGGGTCCCCTGTCTTGAATGCCCAGAATCTGTTTGAAAGTTTCTGAGTGCATATCTTTGAGGACAGAGTGTTTATCTGTCCTGAGCTTCTCAAAGGTATCTGCAGGGAGACTGAGGCCCAGAGCGGGAAAGGAGTCAAAAGCAGAACCGAGACCCTGATTCCCAATGTACTTCTCACTCTCCCACGAGCTCCAGGGCTAGCTCTGTTGGCGGTTCCCTCTGCAAGAATTAGAGCTGCAAGCCAGTTATTAGGATCCTCAAGCCCTTTGCCAGACCTGCCTCAGCTTCCCTGTGACGCTGCAGAGGTCTGGCATGGTTTCCCATACCCATGGACTCCCTCACTTCCACCCATACCAGGTGGAACCAAGTTTTCTGCTTGGTTGTGGGGCTGGGGCTCCTCCTACAATAGACTGTCTCAGAGAAGCCCTGAAAAAAATCCTTGCACCATCAAGCCCCCAGTTGCCCCTACTTCCCGTTGCGTACACATGCTGCGAGAGCGCCTCTCCTCGTCCAGGCTGAGGCAAGAGGTGCAAGACAAAGAGCCCCAGTTCTGGAGCCAGACAGAACGGGGTTCGAATCTGCACTCTGCTACTTGCTAGTGATGCGGACTTGGGCGAGTCGCTTTACCTCTGTGGGCCTCAATCTCCTCATCTGTTAAATGGGGATAATGAGAGCTCTATGTCAAAGTTCTGGGGGTTAGATGCGAAAATACTCCACACACGACAAGCACTCAACAAAGGTTCCCTGCCTCGTGCCTGCTTAACAAACAAGGACATTGGCCCACAGGAAAAGGAAGCACTTCCCAAGGTCACTCTAACAGTCAGTGGCAGCTCAGAGTGGAAGCATGGCTCCTGGCCCAAAGGGTGGGGGCGGGGGGTCTGGATGGGGTTAAGGAGGCAAAGTGCTGGAGGATCCCTCCTTGTCACAGGCCTGGCCAGGGGTCAGGGGAAGAAGGTCAGGTAGGGAAGATCAAAGGGACAGGAGTGACAACAGCAGCCACTTCACTAATAACCCCATTCCCGGTGCTAATCAAGCCTGGCCCTCCCCTGCCTGGGGCACAGGTAGGTTTGCCAGGGAGGCTCTGGAGGTAACCGTCTCTGCAGCTGGCACCCTCTGGGCTGCTCCCCAGACAAAGACATGGAGTCTAACTCACCTTAAATCCTTCTTGGGGTCATCTGATCCATGCCCCTGCCTCCTGAGTCACAGATCAGGGCTCGGGAATGAGGCCATGTCTGTGGCTGGAGCCTTCCTAGGTACCGACCACCAGTACCAGCTCTTCTCCTTCTCTTTCTCCTGAGCCCCTAATCCCCAACCCTGAGCCCAGAAGCCTCCATTCCTCTTCCCTTTGGGTGCAAAACAGAAAGCCCAGCCCTCCAATGCTATGCTGCGGCCCAGGCACCAGCGCCCCTTCCCTGCTCCCAGCCCAGCTGGAGATGCAGTGGGTGAATGGTGAGGTGTGGCTGGTGATAGGTCCTAGAAGGCAGCGGCCTCCCCCTGAACTATCTATTTCACCAACTGACTGGACCTCCCTGAACAAGTTCCAGCCCCTCTCTGGCCTCAGTTCCCTGCTCTGAAAGTCAAGGTGGTGACTCAAATGTTCACAAGGTTGGAGTTCTTAACTTGGGATCATAAACCTTTTTGAGACTCTGATAAAGGCCAAGGACCCTCTCCCAAGAAAGATGCAGAGGATCTCTCCCTGTAGTGTGCACAGTCGTGCGTGCATTTCCAGAGTGTTCGTGGACGAATGATCTTGAGTGCCAAGCAGTTACCAAGGTAAATAAAACACATGCCCACCCTCCAGAGCGGAGGTTCTAGTCCAGTGCTGTCCCTAGGCTACTGTATGGCCTTGGGGTTGAACCCTTTCCCTCCCTGGGCCTCAGTTTCCACATCTGTGAAATTAATGCCAGAAAAGATAAGGCCCTTACCGTGCGGGCCTGGCTGAAGAGAAAACGCAGAAGGTCCTTGATGTTCTTGGCCTTGTCCCGCTGGAAGTGGACCACAGCCTGGGTGGGGCTGAAGCCTGTGGCCTGTGGAACCTCAGGCCAGCCCAAGTCCAGGTCTGGGGGGTCAACGTCGGAGGCCATGGGGAAGTAAGTGCCCGAGGTGACTTCAGAGAGCAGGCTGAGGCGGTCAGGCCCTGAGGCTTCTGGTCCCTGGGCCTCGCTGAGCTCAGGGCCCCCATGCACATGGCTGGTCATGTAGTCCATGTCCAGAGGGCTCAGGAAGGGCAGCTCCCGCTCCTCAGAGATGACCCGCAGGTAGGCAGCTTCGCCCCGCTCCAGAAGGGCATCGGCTGCCAGCCGGGCCGCCTCACTGTGCTGGAGCACCAGCGGTGAGGCCTCCCGCCACCACGGCCGCTTCAGCTCCTCCACCCGGCCCCGCAGGGCTCCCGCCATTCCCTGGGCTCCCAAGTCCCCCGGCCCAAGGCTTCCGAACATGCCTGACCACCGGCTGCCCTCACCCTCCAGCAGGTTCCATGGCCTGCACCCCGGGGCTGGCTGCAGCAGGAGAAACACACTAACAGAAGCCCTGCCTGCCCGCCCGCCCTCTATGTGCCAAGGCCCCCAACCTGTTGCTACTCTAAGACAGAGCCACGCTCCGCCCCATCGCCCCTGGCCTCTAGAACTTGTCAGGTCAGCCTCACCTGTCTGCCTGCTGTTGAGACTCGCCCGCCCAGGGAAATGGCGGGGCCAGGCCCTTAGCACACACTCCTGCCCACCCCCACCCTGGCCCCACCCCAGCATCATCGGCTCCATCCCCACCAGGCTCCTAGCAAGTTTCCTCCAAACCCTCACCTTCCAGAGCCCCCAGGAAGGTTGGCTTATGATCCAGACGGACCCAGGCATTCTCGGGGACACGCGTGCATGCACACACACATCATACACACCAGGGTGGACAAATGACTCAAGACACGGAGACAAAGGCATGAACACACAGGAGACAGGCTGACCCACAGACAGCTGACACACGGACGTGGAGTACAGGCTGACATACGCAGACCGCACATTTTGATCAAACTCATGTAAGCAAACCCGAATGCTAATTCAGAGCCTAGCCATAACCCCAACTCACGGTGTATCCTTGGTATCCCAAGCCTTGATATGCCTGCACACAGGCCCTAAATAAGAATCAAACAGAGTGTCACACAGAACGTCAACATCGACACCTGTCTGTCCCGCATCTGGGCCTCTCTGCTCCCATCATGGCTCTGCCACTCTCTACCTCCATTACTGCGACCCCCACCCTGGCTCTGAGCCCACCCTCCAAGGGCCTAGAGCAGGGGCTTTCACCCCAGCCCCCAGGAATAGTGGGGAAATGTTAAAATGCAGATCCCCAAGCTCCAGCCATCTGAGATTCAAATCCAGAAAGTCTGAGTAAGTTTCTGGAGCTCACTTTTTATATTTATACTTAACCCGGCATACCTGGGGCAGTGGGCCCAGGCCCACCCCTGAGAAACACTGTTCCAGATGGCTAAGTTTCCGACATCCTCCATTCCAGGGATGCTCCTGGCCTACTGTGGGCCACACTGCAGCCTTCCTCCCCAACTCAGGGGCTGAGTATTAAATGTTAGTAAGAGGGGAGCCTGGGTGGCTCAGTGGGTTAAAGCCTCTGCCTTTGGCTCAGATCATGATCCCAGAGTCCTGGGATCAAGCCCTGCATCGGGCTCTCTGCTCAGCGGGGAGCCTGCTTCCCCTCCTTGCCTCTCTGCCTGCTTGTGATCTCTCTCTGTCAAATAAACAAAAATCTTTTAAAAAAATAAAATAAATGTTGGTAAGAAAGGTTTCAGAGGATGGGGGCAACTTCAAGGTCAGGAGGCAAACAGAGCAGGCAGGTTTCTGTTCTCTGCCCCCGAAAAAGACCAGAGTCCTCAGTAGCCTAAGAGGCTTTGCTCTGGAGAAGAGGGGTCAGCAGACGGCAGTTACTTAAGGAGGCAGGCCAGGCAGACGTGGCCACAATGGTGCACAGTGTCAGCTCGAGGTATCCCACTTCTGAGGAGGAACAAGCTCTGATGAGGACGGCCTGGAGAGCAGAAGACCAAACACCATGTCTCACAAGCTTGTACAATGCCTGTGATCATGTTCAGACCAGACGCAGGTCCTTATGTCCACCGAGCGTCACATAGGGCCCCTCACATTCATGGCAGGGAGCAAAGAGATTTAGGGGTTCCTGTGTCAAGCTGAGCCCTGGGACCAAATATGAATGGGGCTGGAGCTTTGTCTTTGAGGAACCTTAGAAGGGAGGAGCCCAGGGGTCAGCGTAAGGCCGGGAGGTGAAATGCTGGGCCATTCCATCACATTCCAGGGGCAGGGGCAGAAATTGGAGTACCAGGGGCTCTGAGGAGGCCCCTCCCTAGGGGAGGGGAGGCCGCGTGAAGGGTGGGTGGTTGAGTAAGCAAAGCCAGACCGTAGGAGGGTAATGAGCTATGGGGGGGTATCCAAGGAGGCAGGCCTTCATTAGGGCCTTATCTCCAGATTTGTTGAGGGGGAGAACCGGGGCCTTATCTGGGTTGGAGAAGCGCTCCTGGGAGGGGAGGCAGCGCGCTCCTGTGTTTATCCCTCGGTGTTTACACATCTATCTGATGAGACCTATTTTGGGCTTTTTAAAAATTATTTTTAATTGTGGCAAAATACAACATAAAGTTTACCATCTTAACCATTTTTAAGCATACAGTTCAGTAGCACTCAGTACATTCATAGTTACCCAATCATCACCACCATCCATCGCCAGAACTTTTTCATCTTCCCCAGTCGAAACTCTGTACCCTTAATTAAACACCAACTCCCCATTCCCTCCTCTCCCCCAGCCTCTGGCAACCACCACTCTACTTTCTGACTCTATAGATATGACCATACTAAGCATCTCATCTAAGTGGAATTTTGTGTGTGTGTGTGTGTGTGTGTGTGTGTGTATGATGGGCATATTTCACTTAGCATAATGTCCTCCGGGTTCATCCATGTTGGAGCTGAAGTCAAAATTTCCTTCCTCTTTAAGGCTGAATAATATCCCATTGTGTGTAGAGACCACACTGCGTATCCATTCATCCACTGGGGGATGCTTGGGTTGTTTCCACCTTCTGATTATTGTGAATAATGCTGCTTAAGTGTGGGTGTACAAATTTGGCTCTAGATTTTTGTTTGTTTCCTTCCATGGCCATGTTTGTATTCGATTCTCTCCCTCTCTCTTGGCTGCCTGGGTGGCTCAGTGGGTTAAGCGGCTGCCTTTGACTCAGGTCATGATCCCAGGGTCCTGGGACTGAGTCCTGCATTGAGCTCCCCTCTCAGCAGAGAGCTGCTTCTCCCTCTCCCTCTGCCTGCTGCCCTACCTACTTGTGCTCTCTCTCAAATAAAATCTTTAAAAAAATCCTCTCTTTTTTAAGATCTTATTTATTTGAGGGAGAGCACGAGTGAGGGGAAGGGACACAGAAAAAGGAACAAGCAGACTCCCCATTGAGCAGGGAGTCTAATGTGGGATATGGGGACTTGATCCCAGGACCCCGAGATCACAACCTGAGCTGAAGGCAGATGCTTAACCAAAATGAGCCACCTGGGTACCCCCTAATCTTTTTTTTTTTTTTTTTTAAGTAAGCCCTACGCCCAGTGTGGGACTTGAACTCACAACCCGGAGATCAGGAGTTACATGCTCTACAGATTGAGCCAGCCAGTTACCTCTAAGATTCTATTTTGGTAAGGAAAGAAAGAAAGAGAGAGAGAGAGAGAGAGAAGAAGGAAGGAAGGAAGGAAGGAAGGAAACACTGAATATTGGTAATTTCATATGGCCCAACTCAACGTATCTACACATGCCCATGCATAACCGTACCTGTGCATGTCTATAAGTGACATACTATCTCTGATGTTTGCATGTCTGCTTGGCTGTTTTTAAGTAGTTTGTCAGTGCGTGTTTACCTGTGCACGCGTCAGCGTCTGTGCACTTGTGTGCACGTCTGGGTGCAGAGCTATCTGTGTGCATGAGTGTCTGGGCAGTAGTGGAGGTCTTGGACCCTAACACTGGAATCTGGTACAGGGAGCTCAACTGAGAAAGGCAGGGATGCGCAGACTGAAGTGACATCCTGATCCTGAAAGCGTGCCAATCAAATCAAACTCCCCAAGTGGCAAGACTGGCCACCCTTCCTACAGGCTGACCGGGTAAAGGGCCATGGGAGGGGAGAGGGGTGTATCCTGGCCTCCCGGCTGGGCCTCAGGCGGAGACCCAACGCGACAGGAGCACATAGATAGCAAAGCCCAGCCCCTGGCTGCAGAGTGCTGGCACGGGCCCCTTAATAACTGTTATTAAAAGGACGAAAAATACTGTCACGTCCAGGAGATGTGTCAGGCGCCTGCCTGGCATCATTCTGCCATCCTGGGGGCCATTTAGCCCTGTCTGTTGTCTTTTTTTTTTTTTTTTTTTTTTTGGTTAAGATTTTACTTATTTATTTGAGAGCGACACACAGCGAAAGAAAGGGAACACAGGAGGGAGAGGGAGAGGGAGGGGAGAAGCAGGTTTCCCATGGAGCCAGAAGCCCAATGCGGGGCTCTATCCCAGGACCCTGGGATCATGACCTGAGCCAAAGGCAGACGCTTAATGACTGAACCACCCAGACACCCTGTCTGTTGTCTCCTATAAGCCAAGAGGTGCCTGGACAGGTGATTGCCACATTAGGGATGGTAGGAGCAGGGGATGGGCTGTAGATGGTCAGTTGCAGGCTGCTCCAATGCCAACACTGCCACATACATTTCATGTGGCACTTCTGGGTCACTGGAGACAACATTCCCGGGTCGAGCCGCCAGGGATAGGAGAGCCATGGTGCGCCCAAATCCCTTGAATCAAGGTGAAGTGACGTGGGAGTTAAAGACCCAGGAACATGCAGTGAGGGGTCCCCGAGCTAGATAGCAAAGGATGAGAAAGACTGGACGTTGTGCAAAATGACAAGCAGGGCATTCCCAGGAGGAGGACTAGAGGGGCGAGGGCACGGCTGTGAAGGACGATGGCGGCTGTGGGAAAGGCCATCTGGAGCCACACTCTGCAGAGGGCCCAGCAAAGTTGTTGGCTCTCATTGTACAGACCATGGTGCAAGGCTGGCAAGATTCCTAGAGCCGTGTTTTAGGATTATTTACCAAGCAGCCCCCCAGGCGGAGAGTGGCCCGAAGCACTAGACTTCCAGAAACAACCCAGATGGGTGTGGTCCTCTGTTCTCGAGCACCGCACAGGCCTTCAGGAGCCCCCACGCCCACCCCCGGCTCTGGAACATAATGGGTACCTTGAACAATCACAACTCTTGAGTCACCTTGGCTTAATCTGTAAAATGGGACCAACATCACCTCTTCCACCAGGTCTTTGCGAGGAATAAATGGGCTCTTCTATGGTAAGTGCCAGAGAGGAGTAGTTCAGTACGTGCTGGACTCGAGAGCTTTCTCAGGCCATGAAAGGGTGGGTGCTTGGTGGAGGCCTGAAGACACAAGAAGCAGCAACCAGAGGCGCTCCCCTTGTCAGTTGCTGCCCTTTCTAGACCGAAGGCCGGCTCTGAATGTGAACATGGCCCTCTGGCTGTGTCAGTGGAGTGTGGCTCTGAGATTTGGCCTCTTTTTTTTTTTTTTATAAATTTTTTTTTAATTTATTTGACAGACAGATATCACAAGTAGGCAGAGAGACAGGCAGAGAGAGAGGAAGGAAAGCAGGCTCCCCGCCGAGCAGAGAGCCCGATGCGGGACTCGATCCCAGGACCCTGGGGTCATGACCTGAGCTGAAAGCAGAGCAGACCTGAGCCACCCAGGCGCCCCTGAGATTTGGTCTCTTATTCCGGCTCAGAGGAGGCAAGGTCCTCTCCTCACTCTCCTACACAGATGAGCATTGTGGCAGGCAGATCACAGGAATGAGGATTTGGGCATTCTATCTTGGACAGGTAGCTATGTCTGGGTTCTAGCCTGCAAACCTTGTGATGACGGCGTCTTCCTTCCCTCAACCCCCCTCTAGCCATTCATTCACCTATCCCATCTGATTGGGGGAGACTTGTCCCCACTAGTGTTCCCATACAGGGAGGGAATTCCCACTCTACCTTCCTGGAGGGGGAGGTGTGAGAAGACTGCCCCCCCCCTTTTCTCTTCACTCAGCCTTCTAGTCCAAGGGAGGAGGCTTGTCTGGTGGCATGGAAGGTGGCTGAATCTTTCTGCTCCACCCCCAACCCCTTCTCTCTTTTTTTGTTCTGTTGTAGGCAAAGATAGCATATTCTTCATTGATCTACAAGGTAAACTTTTAGAGGAAGTTCTGTCCCTGTAACGAGGAGGGAGAGGTCTGCTCTTTGGGGGGTGTGGAGGCGAGCATGGTTAGTTTTAAGAGGTTTTTTTTTTTTTTTTTTTTTTTAAGATTTAGGGGCGCCTGGGTAGCTCAGTCAGTTAACCCTCTGCCTTCTGCTCAGGTCATGATCCCAGGGTCCTGGGATCGAGTCCCACATCAGGCTCTCTGCTCATCGGAGAGCCCGCTTCTTCCTCTCCCTCTGCCTGCCGTTCCACCTGCTTGTGCTCTGTCAGATAAATAAAATCTTTTTTTAAAAAATAAAGATTTATTTACTCATTTAAAAACTTTTTTTTTAAGATTTTATTTATTTATATGACAGAGATCAGAAGTAGTCAGAGGCAGGCAGAGAGAGAAAAAGCAGGCTCCCTGCTGAGCAAAGACCCTGATGCGGGGCTCGATTCCAGGACCCTGAGATCATGACCTGAGCCAAAGGCAGAGGCTTAGCCCACTGAGCCACCCAGGTGCCCCTTATTTACTCATTTTAGACAAAGAGAGTGCCCGTGCACAAGAGCCAGGGGAGGGGCAGAGGGAGAGGAAGGAGGAGAGATGCAGACTCCTGGCTGAGCATAGAGCCTGACGCTGGGGCTCAATCCCACAAACCTGAGGTCATGACCTAAGCTGAAATCAAGAGCTGGACAATCAGCTAACTGAGCCACCCAGGCACCCCAAGTTTTAGAAGGTTATTAACAACCACATTTGACCAGAGTAAAAACTACATTCTTTAATCAGCTTTGTCAGAAATATTGGTAAAAAAAGAGTTTTCATGTCTGTCTGTCTCTTATGTCTTATTTCTCAGTTCATTTTGAACTTGGGAGGAGATACTATCTAATGATCTCTTAAGCCCCCAACATTACTGGTCTAGCTTCCTCACCCTCCCCATCTTATCCCCACCCCTCTTCTCCCTCTGTCCATCCAGTTCATCCAACATGTATTTAATGCCTCTTTTAGGCCAGCACTGTGGTCCCAAAGATGAGTAAGACTTGGTCTCTGCCCTGGAGGAACTCACAGTTTAGTGGGGAAGGAAGACTCATAAATAATTATAAGCCACAGGTTAAGCCAAGGTATAAACCAAGTGCTTTGAGGTTTAGAGCTCATGACCCATTCTAGAACCTTAGAGGAACCATGTCTCCACCTCCCCATCCCCAACGAGGGTACAGCCCTGTGGCAGGCTTTTTCTCTGATGGTGACTGCGAGGTGAAGGAGCCATTTCTGTCAACACAGAGAGATAAATTTAGGGAAGAAACAAGCCAGCACAGGCCTGTGGCTCTGGTTCACAACTGTGAATACTTGAGTGAGCCTCTCAGAACCACAGCCTCCCATGTGTGGTCCATGTTAAGAAGGCTGGGCTGGAGGTCTCCAAGTCTCTTCTAGCACTCATATATTCCATCACCTTTTTCCCCCCCATCACTTTTTGATATTACAGCTCAGTACTTGAAGACTCCCTTCCTGGGAATTCTCCAGTCAGGATCTCTAGGACCCTCTCTCCCCTTAGTAGTGAATAGGTTCACCGGCATGGCTCGAGGGAAGTCTTCTGGAAGCCACAGATGATTTGTGATGGCTGGTTAACACAGGGGCAGGGGTGAATGCGCACAGGATCATGGCCAGGGGCTTGGCTTACCCCTCCCTAAGCCCAAACCCAGTGGTGGGGGTGGGCAAGGCATAGTGGGATGCTGTGGGATGGCTATAAGAGGGCAGAACCAGAGTAAGTATGGGAGGACTGCTCCCAAGGGAAGAGTTCAAACGTTTTGGGACTGTCTTGTTCTCTGCCCACAGACCTGCCAGCTCCCCCCACCCCGCCTTCCTTTCCCCTTCACCTCAATGGCCGATAATTCTAGGTTCCCTGGGCATCGAGACCAGCATGGACTGGTCTTTCCCCCGCAGCCCTCACCTCAGAAATCCCTTGTCCCCATCTGGCTCCAATCTCTGGTCATAGGAAAAAATTCCCTCCTCCCCTCCAAAGCCAGGCCCTTGTTCTCAAGGCCAGGCTCCCACTTCCAAAGGGATCTAATGATTCCTAACATTTACGGGGTCTCCTACTCCGCTGAGTGCTTTACATTTGGTCAGGCTCCTCCTCACCCCCATGCACATCTTCAGCCTTCTTCCATGCTGCAAAAAAAGTGTAGTTCTTACCCTACTCTCCTAACTCCTGCCCAATTTTTCTCCATTTCTTTTCAGCTAGGTGCCTACCAAGATACCACAGCCACTGCCATATCGTGCCTTCTCAACCCTTTGCAATCTCTGTATTCTCTCAAAAAGTCTTGTTCCTGTAATATTCTAAAGCCCGAGCCTCAGTCACTTACTCCCTGGCCCCAACTCCTGCAGCATGCAGCATTAAGAACGTCCTCCTTCTGGAAGCTTCCTCTCCCTTGACTTCTACTCCAGCCTCTACTTCCTGTGCTGGTTCCTGCTCTTCCTACTTCTCCCCAACCACCCTACCCTCCTGTCCCCACACCACCCACCCTGGGATGCTTTCTCCCACACCCATCTTAGTCCCTGGCCAGCCCTCTACATTTTACCTCTGGGAGCTCATCCATTTTCGTAACTTCAAGTGCCCCTTCTACATGAAAGGCAAAGCCAAAGTCCTTAGCCCCTCCACCCTAATCATCCCCTGACATCCAGCTCCTCTCTTGCCCTCCCTGGGGCACCTTCCACCAGACTGGCTCCCATACAGATACAACCAACACACACCAAAAGCAATGGAGTAGGGCTCAAGACAGGAGACTGGTCAGCTTTGCTACAGGGTCACCTTGTACCAGTTCACGGCTTCTTCTCAGTGGACCTGTTCCCCTATTGCATGATGGGGGCAATAATTCCCGCCCTGTCTATCCCATAGCATAATGTGGCACTTGGAAAAAACACAGTACAGGGCATTCTTTTTTTTTTTTTTTTTTTTTGAGCTTCCGTCTTCTGCCTGACATTGCCATCTCCTGGTTCCCAGGAGAGCTCCAGATGGCTTTCTTCAGGCTGCATGTGCAGGGAGGTATCAAAGTCCCCAGGATTTCTCTGCAATGTCTCTGGGGTTTGAGCTTCCCTCTGAATTCCTACAATCACCCCCCAGCCTCTTAAGCCTAGATGGCTGGTTCCTGACCGAGCCGATCTACCTTGCACACGGCTGTACATCTTCACCCCCAGCAGGTCTCTGTCCTTACCCAGAATGCCTGCCAGCTGCAGAGTTACCCAGCTTTCCCCCTACTCGTGGCCCCACCCAGTTCTCCTGCAACCTTTTCTGCCCTTAACAAACCACTCAGCTGGTCCACTTGAGTCTGAAGAAGCTTCCTATTCTGTGCCTTCCCCCAGGCAGCTCCCCATTTCGTTTTTCTTTCCACCTACCTAAACCTTGCCCATCCTCTATGTCCCGACTCCCTTCGAGGCTCTTCTGAGGTCTAACCCCCTTGTTCTGATTTTTCCTGTTAGTACAAGAATGTGTCCACACAAGCCCATGTGGCTGGAGTATCACTGAAGGCGTCCTTTCACTTTTTAACTGTGTAGCACATGGTCCTTTTCTCCATCCAGTACTCCTTCTCTGAAACTAAGCGCACTGGACTTGGGAGCTCTGCATGCAGAGTCAATCTGCCCCCCACGGCCCCAAGCTTCATGTAATTTCCCTCAATGAAAGAGGAGCTTAGTAACGCCGCACAGATTTGTCACTGAAGATTAAAACAAGTAAAAATACCAAGCAGTGTCTGACAGAATAGAAATGCAAAAAATACTGGCTGAACTGGGCCTTGGCTTTAATCTCAGCTTGAGGTAAGAAACAGCAATCATTTATGGTTCTCAAACTTATAGGCAAAACTGAAATCTTAGAGAGATTATTCACTGCAGTGTTTGGTGTTTCTCATTTCACATCCCTATAATACATTCTTCTCTGAAACATTTCTTCTGGTGAATAAGTATACTTTCCTTTATGTGACAATGAGAATGCTTAGAACCTTGACTCCCATTTCTGCCTTTGATTATACTTGGTTGCAGATTTCCTTGCTGACCTTTGGGGGGCAGTGTGGGATGGGGAGAGAGCAAGGGCCCTGGGGTTGGAAGATGGGGACTGGGGCACACTGGGCCCCTTCTTCCCGAGGCTGGATAACCTGAGCCTTGGTCCCCTCACCTGTGGAAAGGGGTTAAGAATGATGAGGATACCTATTTTACAGGACCACTGAGATAATATCTTGAAACTACTTTATAAATTACCCCAAAAATCCCATGAAAATTGGTTATTAGCGGTACAGGTTTTCTGACATGATTATTTCCCTTTCCCACCTCCCAATACTTGCATCTTATCTTTTAAACTTTGTTCTAATCATGTTGTACTTTTACTATAACTGTGTCTTTTGATTTGCTGTGATCTTTTCTGGAAGTAAAAATAAATGACAAAATTATTTCTAAAGAGCAATCTCCCTGAGGGCAAAAATGTCCTTCACTTGTTTTGTGTAATAACAATTTACAGTAGAAACATGTATAGCTACAGGGACGCCTTGCTGGCCCCGTCAGTGGAGCATGAGACTTTTGGTCTGCAGGTTTCGAGTTTGAGACCCACGTTGGTGTGGAGATTACTTAAAAGAGAGAGAGAAAGAAAAACATGTAGCTACAGAATGAATGTTTAGCTTTCGTGCCTATGCAAAGGCCAGTGGAGGTACTTTGTACTGAATTGTTAAAATAAGCTGAACTGCAGGTCAGAGAATGATCCAGAAAGGGACTTTTTCGCGGGGCTTGTACTGATAATCGACGGATGATCTAATCATGCATTCCTTCTTTCATTTGTCCAAGCCTATACTGATGCCTATTGTGAGCCAGGCGCTCCTGGGGTGCTAGAAAAACAAAGGTGACTGACCTAAACACAGTGCCTGCTCTGAAGGAGCTCACAGCGCAGGAGGGAGGGTGGGGAGGTCAGCCACAGTTCGCCTCTGGGGCGGACAAGGCTGGGTTGGGGAGGTAGGTATGCGCGCACACATGGGGTTTCTCTAGTCAGATGGGGATGCAAGGATTCCAGGTAGAGGAAACATACAGGGTGATCACTTCAGGTAACCCCAAGTAGTCCAGTTTGGTTAGAGAAGAAAAGAATTCGAGACTCAGACACAAGAACAGGTCAAATTAAGATGAGCCTGGCAGCCATCAGGAGCCTGGATTGTATCTTAAAGGGGAAAGGAGGTTGTGTAGTGGGTGAAAGACGCCAACAGCCTGGAAGTGAGGGCTTTGGGACATCCCCGACCTGATAGCTCCAATTCGGTTCTTTCAAACGCAGTTCCGTGTTACAAGCTGCGCTGTCTGACGAGTACTCAGCTTACAGAGACATGACCGGGCTCTGCAGGCAGATGTATTCATAAACGGCCTTTGTGGACAAAGGCCAACCGGGATGTTGAGAAGGAGAGTCAAGTTCTGGACCCGGGCTGGACTTCGTGACCTCTAAAGTTTCTTCTCAATCTGCAGTTCCGTGATTCTCCAGCAAGCCCAGTAGCTGAACTGTGCTGTGGGCTGGGATCTGTGGCTGGGGAGCTGCCCTGGGCAGCAAACGGGTTAAGGCTCAAATAACTTTTATATATGAATTAATGTGTGGAGCTGGGAGCCAAAATCTGTTCCATTAATTTTTCCATCCATTCCAGGAGCAGTTAGGTACACACAGTAAAGTTTATTTTGGTGCATGGTATACTTCACTCCATTAAAAATAAATTAATCAGCAAATTCCTGCCTGGCTCAACTCTGGTTTATGTAAATAGTGCCCAGCTGTAATGAGTTACAAGGTGTTACTATCTCACACACACAGAGGGGGCTTCACTCTAGAACTCCGCTCGCAACAAAAGCATCTTAAATAAACTCAGAGAAGGCGGTCTGATTTGTAATGTTTTCACAGAAGTGGGATATACCTCACCCATATAGAATTTCTTTATATGACTCATTTTATAGCAAGTTAAATGAAGGAAGTTTGATGGGGGAAGGAGGGGCACTATGGTTCCCCGCCCCGTCTTTAATTCAAAGAAAGTCCCCCAAGAGCTGACCCACACTCGGGAAGGAGGGGACTGACCCCCAAGTGCACAGACTAAGCTGGCTCTGCAGCACATGCTCCAGAAGCTGGGATGGGGCTAGAAAGCTGGGCATGGGGCTGGGCCCTGGGTTGGTACAAAGAAGCCAGAAAGGATCTCTTCTTCTCCCCAGTATCTCACATAAAGGGAGTCAAGAGAGGAAAGACAAGCATGTTCCTCCCCCTCATTCAGTGGGGAAGTGTTCTTGGGGCTTCTCTCCAAATGACGCAGGATGGGACAAGCCCCAGGGCTTCTGGGTCCCAGACGATGGAGCCTGGCAAGGCTATGGCTTGGCCAGAACAGGGACATCTCCATGAACTGGAGACAAAAGCAGCAGCAGACCCTCTCGCCCGCCTGTCTCTAACTGAGCTGGGGGGCGGTCCTCAGCTTATGGCCACTGCCATCTCAGGTAAGTTTCTAAAAACCCGGGAATAAAGAAGAGCCATGGTAGAGATAATTCTCTTTCTTTTAATGGCCAACTCAACCCCATGGCTCAAAGCCAGAGGACAGAGCATGGTTACCCGTCTTGACTCAGCAGCACGCCAAACTGCCTCTTGGCCATGGTGGGCTCTTGGTGGAAGTGTCCCCTTGCTAACCTATCCCCATCCCTCTGCGGCCTTTGGGGAAAGCTGTCAATCACATCGTTACTGGAGGGGACCAGAGGAGAGTGTGCTGGGGAGCTCTTGCTCCAGGCTTCTCCTGAGGGGGAGGATACCTCAGAAGAGCTAAGGGTTTTCCCAGCATTGTAGCCCACCAGGTCAGACTCCTGGGCATACTAAGAGGAAAATCAATGCAAATGGAGCCAGGTATTTGATAGATGCTGTTCACAGGTCAGTTCAGGCCACTTTCTGCAGGGTTCTGAGCCAAACAAGCACCTCTCTCCTGGCAGTTCCTCGAAGCCAGCTGGCCAGCTGTGCAGAGACACCAGCCCATCAAAGACCCTCGTCGTTATAAGTCGGGGAATGAGGCCTCAGGATGCTCTGAGGATTCTTCTCCACAAGAGGGCGCCAGCTCACCTCCCCTGTCAGCAGCAGATCCTCCCCATTCATGGAGTCCAAGTACTGCATCTGCAACAGAGGGAGCGGGAAACAGAGGACAGGGACAAGGGCAGGAGAGTCGTATAAGGAAACAGCCTTCGAATGGTGAGGACGGGAGGGACTTTGGGGGATTGGGTCCAACCATCCCAGCTCCCAGGACAGCAGGTCTCTGATCATCCAGACTATTTTATTACAGTGGGTTGGAAGAAATGAGTTACTGGGGCACCTCATGGGGAAGACTTTAGGGAACTCCCCGTCATGCCCTTGAACAGACAGACACACGAGCCCCGACTCTGTGGACTGCAAGAACTTTCTAGGGTGTCTATAGTGGGGGAGACATGTCCTTGGGATGTGTATGTGAGTTTTATCTGTCCATTCAGGGTGGTGGTGTTACTCATGGTGAGCCAATTCCCTTCTCTGAGCTTTAAGTTTCCCTGTCTGAGAGAGGGGACAGTAACGTGCACCCCACAGGACTCATGAAGAGATTAAACAATACAGCACATGTACACTGTAGTCACTGGAACTTTTTATTTTAAATATGTATGCCTCTACTGAGCTCTGACCCCACAGTTAGCGGGCTTCCATGCAGACCAGTGGGTCCAGCTTCACCCATGAGGCTGGCTGGGGGGAGTTTTCCTGCAATGGAGAACGGAGAGCAGCTGCAGGGGAGGTGAGGCTAGGCGGTTCAGCAAGAGGCAGGTGATCTAATGAGTGGCCAAGTCTCTGGGAGGATTCCCCGGCTGCTGCTAGTAAGAACAGCAGAATGAGAAAGGCTTTCTAGTGGACAGGCCAAATCAAGGGGAGGGCTGGGTCACATCAGGAATGGGCACTGGATTCACAAAGATGAATCTCCACTGTGGGGTGAGAAGGCGTTTGGGAGGAAAGGGGCAGGAGTCAGAGGCCTCATCCTAGTTCCTTGGATCTTCTCCCTTTTCCAAGAATTCCTTCACTCCTGTTCTGTCACCTTCAGGCTGCTGACCCTTGAACTCACGCGTCTCTCACATATACCTCAGGTCTAGATTTCCACATGTCCTGCTGTCTTCCAGTACAAGGAGAGCAACGGACCCAATACCTTGCCTAAAATACATTCCTCTTTCCGACAACTCCATTTCTGTGCCTCATGCCACCTCTCTGCCCATCTTCTGTGTTGAAAATCCCGGCATAACCTCTGACTGGCCCTTGGGCTACCCACCAGACCAACCAGGATCATGGCGGTGCAGGACTAGTCTGCCGAGGGCCCAGCTTCCTGGTCTTTCCTGATCCGCTCGCTCATAGTCTTGCCTTTCTTCAGCCTTTCACAGTATTTTGTTCCTACCTGTATAACCTCACCGACTGACTTATGCCAGGGTTATTAGCCTTGTGCCTGACTGCTCTCCTCACCAAACCATGAGCCGGCTCAAGGGCAGGTCTGGGTCCTATGAATCTCTGCTTTCTCAACAGAGTCTCAGGCACAGCACATATTCATAAGCTCTGCTGACAGGACCAGGTCCCCATCAAAGCTCCCTGCTTTCCTAAGAGAGCCCCATCACTGTTTCCCTATTGCCTGCCTCTCACTGGACTACATGGGGACTCCTAAGGGATTGGTGTACAGTCCCTTCTTTTGGGGCTCTCGGAGAAGTCCCAGCTGTGCTCTTGCTGTGGCCCCTGGCACAAGCCCACCATGGCAGATGGAAAAGTTAAGCCAGTCTCTCAAAAAACCATTTGCTTTGCTTTTGCATTTGCTTTGCCAACTGCTACTTGTGTCTGACGGTGAGGCCAGTCAACAGTGTGAGTCTTAAGAGCTCTCCGTGGGTGGAGTCCTCTGGCCACAGTGCTTTCTCCCAGCTCTGGCAGATCTGAAGAATGATCAAACAGAAGTCCTGGCTTCTGGGGTTCTCTACCCTCTGGGTCTGAGGAGCCCTACTGTGTGGTTTTTCCAGCAATCAGCAAGCTGCTCCTGCTGGCCCTGTCTTCTCCCTAAGAGCTAGGGCCTGGCCTTCCCCTCCCTAGCTGTTGAAAGCTTGAAGGCCGTGGACACAGGTGAGTAAGAGAATAACTGTGGGGTGAGGCCCCTTCAGCTCCAGGGCCAGGCCCATGAAGCAAAGGTGTGACTCATGGGACAGCCTGAGCTGATGAGCCGTCTGGAGCAGCTAAGGCCTCTAGTGGCTACATGAATCACCGACTTGGGGTTGTAGGCCAGCTGTGCGGGCTGACTCACTGGGAGACCCTGGAAAAGCCTCTATGTTCCTCTTCTCTGCCACTCAGCTCACTCATCTATAAAGTATGGGTTTCCCATCAGTACAAGATCAGGGGGACAGAGAGATCAAGGACTGAGGTAGCCATGGTTTCAAGGAAAATGATGCAGTTAAGCAGTCCCCACTCTGGAGTTCTTAGAAACTCTGGTGTCAGGGAGCCCTGGCGGACGAGGGGGTGGCAAATGAAGCAGGAGGACCCTACTTGATTGTGGCTAGCACTTGGCGGGGAGAGTCTCGAGGGATGCCCGTGGAATGCCGCCTAGAGCCCAGTCCTGCTAGAAATCGGGAGCAGGAAACATGAACCTTGGAGCTTCCAAGTGGGGAAAGAGGGGGCTACAGTGGGCAACTACACTGTACCCCATTCCCATATCCTACAAGACTGTGTGTGTCTGGGGTCTTGCACAGCACTGGCCACGTAACAGGCAAATCAAAAAACAGGTAGTGAATGAATGCCTAAGTTTGTGAGAGCAGACTCCTCAGAGCTGCTGCTTCTATCCCATTCCTTCTCCCAGCCTAGCTCACGGCTGGACGGACACACAGAAGGTGTTCTTCACGAGCACTGCTGCTGACAGGATGTGGTCAGAATTCCCTCAGACTGGCCTCTGGGAACTCGACCTCTCACAATCCTCTGAAAGTCCAGCATCTCCAGACCTCAGAAAGACCTGCTTTCTGTGAGCCTCTGGAAGGGAGGGGTAGGGCTGCTCACCTGTTTCCTCACATACTCCACCAACAATTCAAGCTGCCGGGGGTCTTCACATTTCTGGTTGAAGAAGGTTCTCCAGAGTGCAGCAGCCAGCCCATGGTCATCTGAAAGGATCCCCTGGAAAAGAGAGTATAACTTGTCTTCCAGGAAGTCTGGCAGAGCCATACCTACAAAAGTTGGGGATAGTGTGAACACGCTGGCAACCACAGAATCGGACTGGAAAGACCTTACAGACACTACAAGAGAGAAAACAGGGCAGCTACGTCGTAGAGCCAGCATCTGGTCCAACTCATTCATTTTATGCAGAGGAAGGACATGGAAGCCAGAGGGGCTGAGTGACTGGCTAAGATTAACGCAGAGATGGGGTTCATGTCTGGCTGCCCTCCCAGGCCACAGCTCCCAACACTCTCCCACATCGTACATGACCCAGCAATACCTGTGAAGCCAAGAAGAGAAATGGTGATACAGTGTTCCTACTGCTATCTGAAAGGAATGGGCACAGAGTATTGTGGGTGGGTATTTTTTTCCCCAGAAACAGAGGTGGGCATAGACTGCACCTTTTTCCTAGTCCAAAGGCACATATCTGCAAGGCAGATGGCTCTCAGGGAGAAGAAACCAGGCACCTTGGCCTCACTGTCACCCATCTCTGGGTTGGCCACGTTGCCCTGCCTCAAGTGGAGGGACAGGCTGTTTAGCAGGACTGCCACAGGCCAGAGGGAATGCGCAGAGCCCGTGTGTATGTGTGTATGTCTAATATTGTCTTTTGCAGCATGGAGGAGGGCTCTGTTGAGAAGGAACAGATATCAAGTATCACAGAGACTAATCAGCACCTGGGCCATGGACTAGGGCCATTTTCTAGTTTGGACCTCTAAGGGAAGGGGAGGGGATGGGAAGGTGACTGAAGGGAAAGGCCCCAAGAAGCTGCTCTGTCCGGGTGCCATGCTAATGTGGAACCAGACAAAGCACCGACTTATAAATCAGAAGGCTGGTCAAGTCCTGGCTCGGCCACTACCAAGCTCAGAGGTGGCGGACAATTCACTAATCATCAATGAAACAGAGACCGAAGTGCTTGCTCTACATACAGCATCTTTGCATTATAAAAGTGAGCTCATGTACAGGCATTCTGTTACGTGTAGCATGTCAGATACAAGAATCAGGAGCTTGCTTTGGCAGGCCACTGTGGCTACAGCTGAAGCAACAGTGAGATCTAGGGATCAGACCACCTAGGTTCAGACGGCAGCTCTGTCACTTGACAGCTGTGTGGCCCTTGGAAAGCCACCAGCCCTTCCTGAGCCTCAGTTCCTCATGAGCCAAACAAGCACAGTAAGACCCAGCCCACAGCGCTGTTGTGCGAATTCAGAGATCACGGCCGTCACAGGCTCTGAAGACCCCAGATCATGCCTTCAGTGCGATGTTGTTCACTGGCCTCTGGGACACAGTGGCATATGAGGTCTGACTCCAGGCCTGCTGCCACAAAGGGCCAAGTCCAGGATGGGGTGCTGACAGTTTGGTGGGAAAACAGCCAACCTGGTCCAAATGCCCCTGCTAAACATCCCTCTGATTTCCCGGCTTAAGAGACTGTGCTGGCACAATGGCTGAGTCAGGAAAACCAGCTTCTTCTGGCAGACGGGGACAGGGCCCAAGAACAAGCTCAGGCACATCACCGTTCTCCAAGCTATTTGCTAACACAACAGCCTGCCTGTGTCTGAAGTGCCCTGGGCACAAGTGGACCTGCTGGCAGTGACCCACGTGTGCTGCACGGGAAGGACCAGCAGTGGGAGTGGGTGTCATGAGGACCTAGAGAATGAACACAGAGCGCAAGACAGCGAAAGCCCCGGAGCCACGGCCTGCGCAAGCAGGCACCTCTGGCAAGCGGCGGGGGACGGCTGGGAAGGGGCAAGTCCGCCATCCGTCGGAAAGAAAAGGATGACTCAGGACTCAGATCAACAGTGATAACACCTGACTGTTCCAGGCTGTCAGTTCCTTCACACACCTGGCTCCTAATGACTACATATGCCAGAAGAATAGATATTATTATCCCCATTTGGAAGATAAGTACACAGAGGCTTAGAGGTTATCTAGCTAATTGGCAGCAGACTCAGGACCAGAATGCACTGCTGAAGTCAAGGGACAGTGCCTGACCAGCTCTATTTAGGACATGGTACCTGGCAGAGTGGGGGGTGCAATAAAAAATGGCTGAATAAATCAACGAGCCCCACTTCAGCCTTCTTTCCACCAAACTGCTAGTAAGTCAGTGAAAACAAATGGGAGACTGGTCTGTGAGAGAGAAATCAGGAAAGGAAAAAGGGTGCTTGGAAGCCAAATATTAGTTTGCATAGCAATGTTTCCGTAATCGACTAGGGGGCCTGCTTATTTTCCCTCACGACACACACACACACAAAAAACCATCCCTCCGGAGATTAAGACACCTAGGTCTGGAGTAATTGGGAGGAAGCCTGTGCCTTGAGGGTCCCAGTTATGGTTGAGGTTTGGAGTGGCAGTCTCAGAGGAGACTGATTTGTGACACCATTACGTGCTTAGCGTGACGCTGAGAACAGAATCACAGCAAAACGGTCTCCGCTCACGGGCAGCTTGCCATCTAGTTGAAGAAACGAGCTAGCGCCCACCAGCACAGGACCAAGTCCTACAGAGTGAACAACTGCCCATCGGTAGAGGGAGGCTCCCAAGGTAGACTGGACACGGTTGGCTCCTCATTCTTCTGTCTTAGCTGCTACGACATTGTATCCCTAACTAGATATTCGCTTGTTTACCTGTTTACTGTCTATCTCCCCATTAGAAGGTAAGCTCCAGTGGCAAAGAACCACACCATGTTTGTCTTATTCACCAATATATTCCCAGCGCATCCCCTATGGTAAGCACTTTATACCTGTTCAATGGATGGATGGATGGATGGATGGGTGGATGAGGCTGAAATTCAGAGTAAACAAACACAGATCTAGAGAGGTCACGGAAAGCATTAGGAGAAAGAGGCCTTTAAAAGTGGAGAATATCTGGAGAGCTACATTTTAAGCAAGAGAGACTACACTGGTTCACTGAACATTTACAAAGAGAGTGCCTACAAGGTGCCAGGCCCAAAGCTGACGGACTCGGCCACTGCGCTCCAAGGAGAGCTTCCAGTAGGCACAGCACATCTGTGGGGCAGTGGGGCAAACGGCCTCACTTGGAAAAGACGGTTACACACTCAAAAGCAAGGGGAGATAACAGTGGATAGGACATGTCACAATGGGGACATTTGAAAGAAGGCCTGGAAATTCCATGGAGGAATTTGGGACTTAATGTAGTAGAAAATAGGAAGGTTCCCAAAGTGGCCAGGGTAAGGACACAACCCAAGCAACATTCTAGGAAAAGGGGGCTGCAGAATGGCATTGTCCAAGTGAACTTTCTGGGATGACAGAAATGCCTGACAGCCACACAGTCCAGCACAGCAGCCACCAGCCACATAGAGCTATTGAGCACCTGAAATGTAACCAGTGCGGCTCAGATTTCAATTTTATTTAAGGACTTAAAACCAAAATAGCCACATGTGGGGGCATCTGGGTGGCTCAGTCGGTTAAGCTTCTCACTCTTTTTTTTTTTTTTTTTAAGATTATTTATTTATTTATTTAACAGATAGAGATCACAAGTAGGCAGAGAGAGAGGAAGGGAAGCAGGCTCCCTGCTGAGCAGAAAGCCTGACTCGGGGGCTCATCCCAGGACCCTGGGATCATGACCTGAGCTGAAGGAGGAGGCTTTAACCCACTGAGCCACTCGAGCGGCGCCCCAAGCTTCTCACTCTTGATCTCAGCTCAGGTCTTGATCTCAGGATCGTGAGTTCAAGCCCCGCACTGATGACAACAACAACAGAAAAGAACCACCCGTGGCTAGTCTTGGACAGCACAGCTCTAGAACCCATGACTCCCAGTGCGGCCTGCAGAATGGAGGCACCGAGTCACCTACAGCTTGTTTGCCATGCAGAATCTCAGGCCTTTCACCCCAGACTTGCTGAGTCAGAATCCGAATTTTACCTACCCTGATCTGCATGCGCATTAGAATTACGTGAGGAACTTTTACAACAGATGCCCACCTACGGCAGTTAATATAGAACTTTGGGGAGACAGAGCCCAAACAAGTGGTATTTCTAAAAAAGTGTCCCAGGTAATTAGTGTATTTCCCAAACCTTCCCACTCTAAAGAGTCACACAAGAGGTGCTTGCTAAACACCAGGCCCCGCTCCCATTGACCTGGAATCTTCAGAGAGGTGCTCAAGAATCAGATTCGAACAGCTCCCCAGGTGACTCTTGCCATCAGGCGTGTTTGTAAGATGGCCCCACCAGGATGGACTGGGATGGAAGGGACAGAAAAGACACACAATTCAGAACATTATTAACACTGGTGAAAGGAATCAGCTGAGCCAGCTGCAGTGAAGTCCTCAACCAAATGCCAGCTAATAGAGAATTCTATTTCTTCAATTCTAAGCCTTTTTTTTTTTTTTAGATTTTTTTTTTAATTTATTTGACAGAGAGATCACAAGTAGGCTGAGAGACAGGCGGGGGCGGGGGAAAGCAGGTTCCCCACCGAGCAGAGAGCCAACTTGGGGCTTGATCCCAGGACCCTGAGCTCATGACCTGAGCCGAAGGCAGAGGCCCAACCCACTGAGCCGCCCAGGTGCCCCCTAAGCCTCACTTTCCTATACACTGTAAGGTTTCTGAAGTCAGAATGTATCTAATTTAACAATTAATGTGTAGATGGAAGCAGTGTTTCTCAACTCCTGTCCCATGCCCACCAAGCTCATGTTAAATCGATGACGTGTGTATGCAATTGCTAAACTGCTCTCCCATAAACCTTCCTGTTTTCTACAAATATGTGGCAGACCGAGAATCAGGAAACCTCAATTTTAACTAGTCCTATTTTTGTAAGCTTATCTCCTGGCTTTAATTATTATCTTCAGACTAATAACACTTCCTCCAGCCTGAACTCCAGCTCCGTACTTTCATCCTTTATGCCTTTCCTCCCTTCCTCATTCCTGACTTACCACACGCCAGGCAAGAGAAATGCAAACACAGTAGACAGTGCCACCACCCAGAAGGAGTCCCCACCCAGCCAGGGTGACAGTTAACACTAGTGTAGTGAGTATGGTGGAGTCCAGAGCAGGTGAAAGGAGCTGAGCCTGGGGAAGTTCTAGGCCTGTTTTGCAGAAGGGGTGGTGCTTGCATTAAATATGGAGGTCACCACAAAATGAGCAGAAAAGCACGTTTTATTAAAAAGATGAGGTATGATGAACTCCGGTAGTGTGCATACAGGTGCTCATTACACCATTCTTTTACCTTTTTGATGTGTTTGAAATTTCCATAATAATAGTGGGGAGAGAAAGATGAGCTGGGATGCTACCACATGCGTGAACCCTGAGGACATTATGCTAAGTGAAGTAAGCCAGTCACAAAAGAATAAAACCCATATGGTTCTACTCACATGGGATACTCAGAGCATTCAAATTCACAGAGGCAGAAAGGAGAAGGTGGTGGTTACCAGGGGCTAGGAAGAGGCAGAGGGAAGAGTAAGGGTTTAATGGGTACAAGAGCTTCAGTGTGGGAAGATGGAAGAAATTCTGGAGGTGGGTGGTGGGGACAGTCGCTCAAAAATGTGAATGGACTGCAGACCACTAAAATGTGCACTTAAAAGTGGTATTTGATGTTATGTATATTGTACGATGAAAAAAAAATGAGATCTAAATGTTCTGATGTATAAGGAGGCCTAAAATATATTGTTCAGTGAAAAAATAGTGTATGCAGTGTAACTTCCATTGTGTAAAGAAAATACGTAGGTGCCTGTGTATGCAAACATAACGTCTGGAAGGACACCCAATAAACTATTAACAAAGTTTTCCTGTGGGACAGGGAGTGGGCCAGGACAGGAAAGGGGCCTTCTATTTACTTCAACCACTTATGTGCAGTTTTATGAGTTTCTGAAATGAGTATGTACTGCTTTTATAATGAAAGCCACAAAAGTGTATGATCTGTCTGGCAGCCCATGCAGTCTTCCCATCTCTAGAGGCTGAAACAGGGACTGATTTGCCTTTGTTCCTACATCCAGCACCCCACAAGGACTCAATAAATACTAGCAGTTGAATGATCTGACCATATTCTATCGTGCCCTCTTCTCCAAGCACTAGGCAAACTGCTGGGCATAGTCATTCCTATTGCCAAGTCCGTGAAGATGAGGAAATAAATTCTAAGCCGTAATGGCAGGGTAGTGACAATGTCCCCTGAAGGTTCCCTCAGAGTTTCTCATCAAAAGTCTTTCTGTGTAAGTGATGAATCCCTGAATTCCACTCCAGAAACCAATACTACACTGGGTGTTCACTAATGAAAATTTAAATTTAAAAATAAATAAATAAAAGGTCTTTGTTGGGGAAAGCCAATGTTCTGCTTAAGGCTTGGCAAATGCTCTTACCTCATCATATCCCAAGATTGCTGCATAGAAATTATTTGTCATAAGGATCATGTTCTTCTTCAGGATATAAGAATTAACCTACAGAAACAAAATGAGAAAAACAAAAGTATGAAAAAAGGGGGAGAAAAACAAAAATTATTTTTGCCTCTAAACTATCATAGACTCTTAGTAAAAAAACAAAGAGAGAAGGCCCCAAACAGGTCAAACTGCTGGTTCCATTTCCCTGATCTGCCAGGACTCTCCCCAATTTGACAGCTTCTTCAGGTTTTGATCCCAAATTACACAAAGCAGTAACTCAGTTTAACGAGCTGAGCCCCAAGTACATGTCAGGCTTTGTGCTAGACCCTACAGAACACAAAGTGTAAGACATGGTTTCTTAGCTGAAGGAGCACACAGTCTAGTATGGCAAAACAAACATGTAAAAAATAATTAAACTGTAATTATGTTGCCTCAAATTCTATCCCAAAAGTGATGAGCAATAAATGAATTTTAGTACAAATGATCTCTGCTCTGGGAGCAGGCGAAGAGTTCTCCAGGAGGTAACACTTAGGTGGACCTTGGAGGAGCGAGGACATTCTAGACCAAGAGAGCAAGGTGTGCTAAGGTAGAGGCAGGAAAGGACATGTTTGGGGAGTGCCAGGGAAGGTGAATGGGCAGGAACACTGGAAAGGTATGCTGGGACCAGGTTAGGAAACATCTAAGGGTTATTCAAAGAAGCTTGTGGTGGTAAAAGACAGAAGGAAGTTGTCAGGAGATGTGAAGAGGAGGCAGAGAGGCAGGACCCTAAGTGAGATGCTGAGGAGAACGGAGAGCCTCCGAGGCTATGAAGAGAAGAGAAGAGAATAAGCCAGGCTAAAGTAGTAAGACTGTTAATCTTTTTTTTTTTTTTTAAGATTTTATTTATTTATTTGACAGACAGAGATCACAAAGAGACAGGCAAAGAGAGAGGAGAAAGCAGACTCCCTGCTGAGCAGAGAGCCCGATGTGGGGCTTGATCCCAGGGTCCTGGGATCATGACCTGAGTCAAAGGCAGAGGCTTTAACCCACTGAGCCACTCAGGTCCCCAGTAAGACTGTTAATCTTAAGAGACTGTTTTGAAATATAATTCCAGGGAGACCATGGACTCCCAGGTAGAACTTCTCTCAGAGAACAGCCAGGTGGGCCTTCAGAGTCTGGACTATAGAGTTCAGTCAACACCTTCAGTAGGGTAAAACTCTGACCTCCAGACCTCCTTTAGGACTATGCTTAAAAGCCCAGGCCATGTTTCATTCCTCTCTGGGATCCCAGCAGAAAGTCTGGTGTAATGTACAGGACATAAGGAAGGACTCACTGGATATTTAAACTGACAGGTTTTAGAAACAACCAAGTTATTAGGAACATTATGTGGAGGATAAGCTTTGTCCTTAACAACTCGGACTATAACCACGCCACTGTCATCCCCTCCGTTTACTGAGGACCCAGTATGGCCCATGCGCTTTATGGCTATCCTCGCCTCTAGCTCACTGAAACTCAGACGGTAGGTGTGCTTCAGTCACATTTTTATGGACACAGACAACAGCCGCAGGCAGGTGAAGTAACTGGCCCCAGGTCCCATAGCAAATTAGTGAGAAAGCGGAGACCAGCATCCAGCTCAGTCTGAGTCCAAAGTCCATGTGCCTTCTGTTCCATCAGCTTCCTGCCTCCAGAAGGATGATTTTACTTTGTATCATATACCAAAGACTGAATGATTTAATCCTGTGGTTCATAACTGGTCTCTGAAGAAGAGCAGAAAGGAGTAGTGAAAGGACCTGGGTTCGGTCAGACAACCTGGTTCAAGTTCTAATTCTGCTGTATACAGAGGATGTGATATTGGGCAAGTCAAATAATCTATTTCCTTGCTTTTCAAATGCACTACACACAGTGCTGGTTTACACAGCAATCGAATTAGCATGCATTCATTCATTAATTCAACAGTGTATGCTGAAAGCCTCCGTAAGCTGTAACATGCTCTGCAAATGCAATGAATTATGAGTAATACCTTCTGGTTTGTTTACAGAAAACCAAAACCAGTTCCAATAGTCAGGGATAATTTTCAAAAAGGAAGAGAGAACAGCCCAGCTCAAGACTGGAAAATGTGAGATTGGATGCAGCTGGTGGTACAATCCATGACCTTTCCCCCCTACCTTCAACCCAGGCCAAATCAGACCTCCAGCCTTTATGTTCCTAGAGCTCTGTCCACACTCTTCCTCCTGAATGCACAACATGGTTTAGAGCCATGTATGTACCTGTCTCTCCCACTAGTCTGTAAGCTACTCAAAGGTCATAAGGAACTCTGATTAACCTTCCACCCCCAACAGACACCTGGTCCAGGGCGTGGCCCAGAGCAGGACTTGAGACTGGCATGCTGATGACTGAATCCTTACAAGGGCCTGAGTGCCACGCCTAACATGTTCTATCCGATGACACCCTTTTGTTTGTTTCCCCTTTTTTGCCGCTTGAATACCTTGCACGTTTCTGAAATTTCAACGACAGATATTGCCTAACTTGTTACTACACCGTCTTCCAGAATGGCCCGGGGTGAAATGCAGAGTCAAGAAACAAGCCAGAGACAGAGTTCATTCCTTCTGAAGCGCGATGATGGGACTACAACCCAGACCTGCTGAGAGCCATTCTGGGGCTCTCCCTACTCCCGTACAAGTTATTCTTCTCATCCTGCAAGAAGAATCAGAGCCACAAACGGACGTCAGAGACATCACAGAAAGGCAAGAGCATCTCTCAGAGGCAACCAGGCACTGAACCTGCTTAGCACACTTAGTTTATGTGTTGCATCTACCTAGTAAGCTTTAGAGCTGGAAGGGTCTTCAGAGATCAACTAGTTCAATCCCTCCGAAGAAATGGTGAACTGAGACCCAAAAAGGGGTAAGGAACTTGCCAGAGGTTACCCAGAAAGATCCTGGAGGGCCAGGATCGGAACCTGATTCTAGACAAGTGTTTTACCTGCTTCACCATCTGTAGGACATTTCTAGAGACCAGCAACACATTAATCTGCAAACCTCAGTTTCCAGCAAGGTCCAGTAACATACCAACACACTTTCTCCTCTTGGGATGCACCTGCATTCTGGCTGGCTATGACCCCAGAAGAATGGAAAGCAAGGGGAGAATTCCCTATGAGCAAGGCTATCTACCACCTCTGGTCCTATAGTCTAACTCCAGTGACCTGTAAGCTGCCTCTCCCTCTCCCCTCTAGCTGAGAAATGGCAAGCAGCCACAGTCAGGAATGGCTTTCAGATATCATCACCCAGGCTGGATTAGATCATGAAAAAGGCCCTTCCTGGAACAGGGTGGAAGCTCGATCAGTGCAGACACATGATCTGCATGCAACAGGTGAGGGTGAGTGAGAACAGCTTCCTGAACTACGGGACTCACCCCACTGGGCCCTCTTAGCCAGCCCAGCGGCCAAGAGGAGCTGGATATTCCCGCACTTAAGCTTTTGTTTGTTGACCTGCAGGTTCTAGTGTCCCCACTGCCAGATGATTCTGGACGGAGCAACCTACTCGTGATGAATACACGGATGGACAAACCGAATGAGAAATACTCCCAGATAGTGTTGGGCTGTTCTCTCAGTAAACTCTTATCCTTTCCATAATGCTTTGCTTTTCATAAAAACCCATACATACAGCACCACCACAAGGAAAAGGTTCCTTTTATATCAGTTACTCATATTTTCCCATTTATTTAAGCTATTAAAATTCATGCAGATATTTTATAAGCCATCAGGATTTGGTGACTGGTATTACTGAATGTTTAATAATAAACTAAACAGAAGAAATCAGAGGGTTAAATGATGACTGCAATTCCTGTAATGACTTAATTAAATTTTTATTGAGTACATAAACTATGATGTCATTTCTAGCCAACCATAGGTCTGCTTTCCCAGCATGTCACAGGGCGGGAGCACTCAATAGGAGGCTAGGCTAAATGAGCAGCGAGTCTCAGCTGAAATGGGGAGGGGAGCAAGGCTCATGTAACACACTCAATAAATTATCCGTTCATTTTTAAACAAAGTCCATGAGTTATAATATATTTGCCATGCACTTTTTATGACATAATAAAAATGTTACCTTAAGGATTACTTAACACATACTACAAATGTTATAGCAGAGGCAGGCACAAGGGGCAAAGAAAACAAACACGAGCAGGCCAGGGACGGGTCCTGGAGTTGACGTCCCAGGGGGAACAGCATAGTATATTAAAAAGGGAATGCCAAAAAGGGGGTGGGGAGATACAAGAGTTCAGGGTTACTAATCAGCAGATTAATGAATGAGACAACCAACAGGGAACACAAGTAAAACAATAATGAATCTCGCAAGGCACATGTTTAATTAATATAGTATTCTCGAGGAGGAATATTAGCTTTTAACGAGAAGCCAGTTCATTTGAGGCCAAGTCACTGCCCTCTTCCCCCTTTTTGCTGTTGCTACTCTTAAAGATGTTTCTGTGACTGTTTAACAGAGGAACCAGATTATGTGGATGGAGAGAGTGATGGAGGATCGAGTTTAAACTCCTCCATGAGCTCTACACGGTCCTCTGTGATCTGTTCTTGGTCATCCTTCCTGCCTGCCTCACCTCCTCCCACCTCCCCACTTTTAGCTCACCCTTCATTCACAGTAAACGATATGCAATTTTCACAAATAAGCTTGCTTTCTTATAGCTCTTAAGCATACTACTGCCGGGATTCCTTCCCCTTCTTCACCCACTGGGACGCTAACTCCTTCTTATCCTCTAAGACATAGCTTATCAATTATACCTTCTGCAAAGTCTACCCTCTCCCCAGTCTACAGTGCCCCACAAAAGTGATTTAAGTCCAGAAAGAGGTCCCATAACTCACTGTTTACCAAGTGCCAAGAACTATGCTAAGAACTTCATGCATGTGAGCTCACTTAATCCTTCCCAGTGACTGAGACAGGTACTGTTACTATCCCCACTTTAGAGAAGAGGAAACTGACATTTGGGAAGCTAGGAAATAGTGGGTGAAGATGAGAATACAGAGCAGTCTGACTCCAGTGCTTATTATCTATGTTAGAACAAACACAAAAAAA